AAATAGTAAACATGACAAGTAAAATGAGACAGATAGAGTATATTTTTTATACCATGGAAAGAGAAAACAACGAATTATATAAATTGTGGTCAAGTCACACTTATATCTGTAGCCAATAATCGTTGTAAACCATTCGAGGGTTTTCAAACGCTTATAATTTTTAAAGGCAATATTCCAACTCAACTTAAGTAGTCAGTCATTCAATCAGCATAGAAATTAACTTTCTTATGGACATAATGCGTTGTGCAATGCAACTTCGATCTCGATTTCCTAGCCAACTCCCGTATAGTTTAGACGATATGCTAATGACTTTCTTAATTGCCACCAACGAATCATACTCCAACTCAATCTATTTATAGTCTTATCATATTCACAGCCGGTTCAACCAAAGACCGATATCAATTATCCACGACTCAATAATTAAGTTGACTACTATACCTACCTCACAATGAAAACCATTTCATAATAATATGATATACAAATCATATTTTGTCTACATCAAAAGCAAAAAAAGAAAACTATGAGCTACCTCCCATAGATTTCGTGTCACAATATCTTACATAATTACTAATTAATCCACTATATTCAATCAATTATTACTATGCTATATGATAATCCAATAAGAAGTCTAAAACGGTAAAATCACAGTGTCGGTGATTAAGTTATTCTAAACGTACGTACGTTTGATCAAGCTTACCTAACCAATGTTACCTAAGATTCAAAGTTCATTCGATTTACCTAATGATGTTTCGTGTAATAAATAAACACTTAAACAAATCAGCACAGATTTGATGACTTTTACTGATTAATTTGATGACTTTTTTTTTTTTTTTTTTTTGCTTGTTTTTACATTAGGAACATCACATCATACACAAGTGACATAATAGGGTCTTAACGAACCAAAATGGATGGTTGAATGATTGGAGTATAATTTTTTTATTTGAAAGTTATGAGTTTGATTCATGCTAATGTACTCTCAATCGAGTTCATGAAGCTAAGCATGATCTTCCTAGTATGATTTACTCTCTTGTGTAACTTATGGACTGTTACATATATAAGAACGAATTTTATCGAGTGTACATTCTTAAGTATTGGTTGCAAACTAGTCGGCCAACTAGGTGCCCGACTCGGCCAGCTCGGCTCTGTCGGTACCTAACTCGGCCATGTTGCCACCTAAGTCCCACAACCGTTCGATTAGATAGTGCCTAGTGCATTTTGCAACCTTGTTCGCACTAGATAATATATTAAGTTACGGAGTATTATTTCACAACATGCGTACAATTTTGTTGGGTCTAGAATGTTTGTTCTTTTTCAAAGTTAATTATGCAAAATAAATAAATAAATAATAGCTTGGAGTTTTCAAATCGAGAAATTTAATATCTAAATCTTACTTCATAAAATGAAAAAATAAAATTTCATTACATGAAATCATAGAATATTATTTATATAGATTAAATTTAATTTAATCCGTATAATATTTTTTATTAAAATATTTTCATAATGGTTACAAAAACATAGTGGGATTAGATATGAGAAAGCTGTCACGGAATAGAAGCTATTGACTCGGCGCCTTGATCGAGCTTGTAACATAAATATACCCTCCATCCGATCGATGTGACTTTCGTATCAATTTATTAATGAAACCAAATCTTAATTACCATATAATTGTGTTTTTCTTGTCTGCCCACCACCTTATGCAGTGTACAATGATCACGACATTCCTTCAAAAAAAAAAAAAAAAATTCTTTACAAAAAAATAGAGTTATTTTCATCAATAAAAATTTAAGTTCACCATAATTTACAATTCAATCAGCTAATAAAAATAATTTTTTTCTATCAAGCATTACAATATTAATGCCGCATCAACCAGTAATTTTTATATAGAAACAATAATAATTTTCTTTATTAGAATGACAATGATTTAATTTTTTTTTTTTTTGAAAATGACAATGATTTAATTAATTTATTAAGCTTTTCATAATATAAAATTGGACTTTGTAGTTCCGGTCTTTCATTTCTCATAAAATTAAAATGATTAGATAGATGGGTAGATTTAGAATGTACTTGAAGAATGGTCCCTAATTAATTAGGTAGAAATTATTTTCAATGATTTAACCTTTAGGTGAAACTTTCGTACTTCTTGTTCAAAATCTAGTTGTATAGGCATCAATTAAATATTCTATTTAGTACCTTAAAAATTATGTTTGGTTACTTAACAACTTAAGTACTTAACTCTTGATGTGTACCTATATAAATTAGTTTTATTTTATTTTATTTTTTTAAATTTTTCTTGAGTAATTTTTATAGCACATTAAAGATAAAGTTAGGTATCATATATATATATATATATATATATATATATATATATATATATATATATATATATATTTGCAAGTTTGATACTTATCAATATTTTCTTGGTCGAGGCTGTCATACATGATTTTGAAGTTCGATTTATTTTTAGCAAATAAACTACACTGCATGTAATTATTAATTTTTAGTATATCATATATATTTTTATAAGCTATTTTGAACCCAAAAAGATTTATAGATAAACTTATTAATTTATTTAATACTTATATTCAGTTCGGATAAAAATTGATTAGACTAGAACTGAATTTTATTTTCTCTCTCTGCGCTCGAATCTGGATTCAAACATTAACTTGATCTAGTCTATATTGTACTCCTTCTATTACCTACTCCCCACTTTGTTATTTAATAATAATAATAATAATAATAATAATAATAATAATAATAATGGTTTCTTGGTCAAGTATATATTTTAATGTGTTGATGAACAAATACAATACTTTAATTGTGTCAATAGTACTCAAAAAATATTCTTGAATTAGTTCAATGTGCATGCCTCGAATTAAGATTGAAATCTTCAAATTTTCTATTTTCTCTCTCCTTTTCTTTAATGTTTTCATTTTTTTTTTTCTTGTCTCTGATGGTTTCGATTTATTGTACCTATCTAAAATGTCAATTGAGTATTGTATTTTTTTTTTCCATGAATCCGAAAAAAAAATTTAAGAATTAGATATTAAATACTCCGTATCAGATATTTTACTTATCGTATGTATTTCAACTTTGAGCTGTGTTTGTGGATCCAGCTGGATGCCTTTCACAGCTTTCACACACATTTTTATCATTGCATCATTTATAAACAAATTAATACTCAGTATTAATTATATCAAATTCATATATATATATATATATATATATATATATAAATGGATTTGTTTAAAATAATAATTGTGTTGGAAAATTAAAAAGTAAATAATGCAGTCCCCCACATGTATGTGATGCATGGCAACGCGAAAACAATTATTTATTTGGATAATATGCTCATTACCTTTTTTTTTTTTTTTTTTTTTTGACATTGTGACATGAAAACTCAAAAATCACATAGGAATTTTTTTTTTTGGATAGATACTACTACTACTTATGTGATCCCAATTTCACCGGACTAATCTTAAATCCACAAAATTCCGGGCCTTAGAGCTACTACATAGGTAAATCACAAGTTGATACTTTCATCTTGGATCTTTTTCCTTTTGAACCTATGTATCCTTCTATTATTATTGTTTGAAAAGTGAAACTTAGATTTATTTAACATGACACATAGATATAACAATCGATGAATCTTTAATTTTACACTTATATTAACTAGTACATGCGTTAACAGTTCGCTCTGCTTATCACCATATTTTAAAACTCTTTATTTATTGAGGAAAGGAGTTTGAACTCAACTAAAATACACTCTCTCTAGGTTAAAATTGCAGCCAAGTCTAGCTTGATTCCCTTCAAAAGGAAGCGCAATACAAAACTAAGAAAATCAATAAACAACAAATTTAAAGAATTTTCACCGCTCCTACCTTAGAGACTAGTGGGGGATCGAAATAAATTATGAGATTAATTTGTCTTAATTGACCAATATATACCAAATAATTGTATATTAGTGCTCACAACAAGGTCAAATGCAAAATTGTCATCTAAAGTTTGGAACATATATAACAAGACTTGTGAAGATTAGTTAAGAAATCAAAGTCAATAGGTAAAGTTTTTCTATTAACAGTTTAACATCCAACACCCTTCCAAACACTACCCAAGATGCTTTCTTGCTTATAATGTCAAAGTGAAATCCTTGTATCCTAGCTTGATGTGGGTTAAGTACATAATAATCTTAATATTTATCCTCTCTACTTATATACTTAATCTAGCAATTCAATCTTTTTCATAGGCTCCATCTCCCATCCTTTATAGACTAATGATACACTAATCAACATCTTGCTTGTATTGGCTTACCTAATATCAAATAGTATGGAAATAGAAAATGTTAAGTTACTACTTGCATGCCACAAATAATATGTTCTACTAATGTTATAAATATCATAATTTTCATATTTATTATCTATTTGTACGTTGAAAATTGTAATAAGAAAATGTTACGTTGTAGGACAGATTTGACTAGGAGAGTATTGATAAAATTCAGATTTATGCACTACTGGAAATTATGGAATTTCCGACCACCTGAAAATGATCTTAAATCAAGTCGAAAGCCTTGTTTCGACCACTTTTGATATCCGAAAAAACCTTTGTTGCTATTTCCGACCACTTTTTGCTTTCAACTTGATTTAAGATGTGGTCCGAAATTTCATAATTTCCAGTAGTGATGATATCATCAAGTACAAGAATTATATTTCACCCAATTGCATGTACACTCATTTCGATTTTCGAAGCAAGTGCAATAAATTTTATTTTAATTATTGGATGACAGAGGTCAATAAAAAATACTTGTGTAGCTTAGCTAGCAGAAAACGTGCAGTCATCTTCTTCAATAATCCCACCTACTACCTAGTCAAAAGATGAGCCAAACATGTACGACGAAACAACTCAATCACTGCATATTTTAACGTTTTACCTTGCATTGTTTAATGTTTAGTTACTTTGATGTGGGTAAATTCGGAGCTATAAAAAGGGATGTTTGGGGGGATTAAGAGCATAAGCAATACCCTCTTTCTTTCTTTCTTTAGGGATCAATGATTGGGAGAGAATCGAAGGGGCCTAAAATGGCCTCCCTCGCCGCCGCTCTTGTGGTGTTAGTGTCTCTTGGTTTGGCGACGGAGGCCACCGCTAATGGGTACAAGTACTCATCTCCGCCGCCGCCTATTAGGCACTATAATCCACCACCAACTCCGGTTTACTCTCCTCCCCACCACCCTTACAAGTACAAGTCTCCACCACCCCCGGTGTATTCTCCTCCTCCACACCACCCTTACAAGTATAAGTCGCCACCACCTCCGGTGTACTCTCCACCTCCCCACCACCCTTACAAGTACAAATCGCCGCCGCCGCCGGTGTACTCTCCTCCACACCACCCTTACAAGTACAAGTCTCCACCACCTCCGGTGTATTCCCCTCCCCACCACCCTTACAAGTACAAATCGCCACCCCCGCCAGTGTACTCTCCTCCACACCACCCTTACAAGTATAAGTCTCCACCACCTCCGGTGTATTCTCCTCCCCACCACCCTTACAAGTACAAATCGCCACCACCGCCGGTGTACTCTCCTCCACACCACCCTTACAAGTATAAGTCTCCACCACCTCCGGTGTACTCTCCTCCCCACCACCCTTACAAGTACAAGTCTCCACCACCACCGGTTTACTCTCCACCTCCCCACCACCCTTACAAGTACAAGTCTCCACCACCACCGGTTTACTCTCCACCTCCCCACCACCCTTACAAGTATAAATCTCCACCATCTCCAGTGTACTCTCCTCCCCACCACCCTTACAAGTACAAGTCTCCACCACCACCAGTCTACTCTCCACCACCACCGGTCTACTCTCCACCACACCACCCTTACAAATACAAGTCCCCACCACCACCCGTCCACCCTTACAAGTACAAGTCGCCGCCACCACCGGTGTACTCTCCACCTCCCCACCACCCTTACAAATACAAGTCTCCACCACCCCCAGTTTACTCTCCCCCACACCACCCTTATAAATACAAGTCTCCACCACCCCCAGTGTACTCCCCACCTCCCCACCACCCATACAAGTACAAATCTCCACCACCACCAGTGTACTCCCCACCACCACACCACCCTTACAAGTACAAATCCCCACCGCCACCAGTCTACTCTCCACCACCCCACCACCCTTACAAATATAAGTCTCCACCGCCCCCAGTTTCCTCTCCACCACCTCACCACCCCTACGTTTACTCATCTCCTCCCCCTCCTCCCTACCACCACTAAGAATGGGCTCCAATACTTTCCCGGTAAGCTTCAAATTACACGTACACTCTCGAATAATAATTGCAGTTTCACTTGTCATTGCACCCAAGATATAAAGGATTCCATAACATCTTTAATTAACGTTTTTCAGGTAGAGGATTGAAGAATATTGAGCTGAAGAAAGGAAGGGCATGGCTATACATAGCATTTTGAAGTTGAAGACAGATTGATTAAAAAAAATAAAATAAATGAAAAAAAAAAATCCAGAGATATTAAAGCAGCTCTAGTAGCTCTCTCTTTCAATTAAGAAAACCTAGTGTGATGAGTACGTGCTTGCATGCACGCTCGGTGTAATAATATATATATATATATATGTTTCTGTCATATGTATGTTCAGTTTGTGTTTTGCTTTCTGTATTTCTCTCAATCTCTTGTTAAACAAATCTGAAGAGAGATTAATAAAATAATTAGACTTCATGCATGCATCATCTTTCTGATCTCTTCCTTTTTTTTTTCTTTTTTTTTTTTTAATTATATCATTTGAGTTACAGGAAAGCTCATAACTACTGCTTATGGGTTTGGGTGAAACCAACCTACCTAATAAAGAATCACATGAACATAAATTAGATTAAATTCTCATAAGTGACCAGTTTAAATAAAAAATTCAATCCATAACACACATGATAGTCAAACTTAAAGCATTACAGTTATTAAGTTAATTATTATTTAACTAATTTAACTAGATATTAATCTTAAACTAAAGATTAAGAAAAGTTAAATAGGTGATAAAATTATTAGACATATAAAATACAACTCAAAGAGAATTACATGCAATTAAAAAAAAAAAAAAAAAAAAAAAAAAAAAAAAAAAACTGACTTTTAAATTCTACTCCCTATTTTTATTCTCTCACTTAACAATTTAATGTTGACATTTTTTTTGAAATTCATTCGATGAAGATAAAATCTTTTATCACATCAAAAAAAAAAAAAAAAAAAAAAAAAAAAAAAAAAAAAAAAACAGAGATTGGGAAAACATATACTCCGATCCGTAGTAAATCTCATAGTAAATTAAATTAAAGAAAAATTACACTATTCGTCCATAAGTTATAGAGTAAGTGTTTGTCATACTCATTTTTCATTTCTAAATTATCATTGGAGTTTTACTTTTCGTCCATGTGTTATACTAAAATTGTAAATTTCGTTCCTTAATGTTTTATTACTAAAATAATAAAAAGTGTAACATATCAATGATAACTTAAGAACAAAAAGTGAATATGACCCACAGTTAAGAAAAGTGTAATTTTTTTTTTTAAAAAATTAACTAAAAATAGAGACATCGGACAAGCCGACAATAGTCGTTGAATCTTGAAAGTAGTCTAATGATTATTGTAGGAGATAATATACCCACCAACCTATACGTACGCACTACTCAGTAACTTTAATTTTGCATGGGACGACCTTACAATTGCAAAGCTTTTAACGTATGATCTATCGCTGTCCACAAATAAGGACGGGTTGTAATAATTTAAAAAGATACGGAGTATTTCATTTATTATAAATATAAAATTATATGTTTATTTTTTGTTTAATAATTTTTATTTTAAATAAAAGTATATATATTTTAATGCGATCCGAGTCTAATTGTCTTATAGTTTTTTTTTTTTTTTTTTTTTTTTTGGTGGGAGACACCCGCCTTTGATAGTAGTGATGCCTACTAAAATAAACTGAATATTTTTATATTTTTTCAATTTTGAGAGTGATAAATTTTAATTTTAATTTTAATTGAGATTTATTGTGTAACTTTAATTTAGGAGTTTTTTTTTTTTTTTTTTTTTTGAAAGCAAAACGGCGAAATATTATTACTGTAAATGCATAACAATGAAGTCAGGAGAGACAGAATCTCAATATATAGTGGCACTGTGGTCCGAGACCTTTGAAGTTAAAGATGTGCTAAAATATTTAAACGTCTAGGAACCGGCATAAAGTAAAATCGCCATGATAGCTTTGCAAATTGCAATCGTGAATAACAACACCCACATACGCTCTTTAATTTAGGAGTTATTTAAAATTTAAATTTAATGAATTACGGAATAAATGAGTGTGTAAAGATGGTGGGGATGGAATTGACGCGTACGTTACGACGTTGTAACTTTTGCATGGGACGCATGTGACATGTAAAGCTGTTTTGAACTATTGCTGTCAAAAAATTGGGAGTGAATAATAAGAACAATTACAAAAAGCCAAAATGGATTAAAGTGAAATGGAGAAAGACAATTGTGGGCTATAAGTATAATTTTGAAAACAAGAATTCAGAGTTGCAGTATTATTTGTCGAATCCTCAGTCAATGGTACTATGGTAGAGATAAGTCAATGAAGTTTTTGGACGTTTTAGTAGCCAAGTAGGCAAGTAGATAAATGCTGGACAGTGGCGTACTCGCGTGGCTGCTAAGGGCGGGAAAAAGTTGTTTTAATACAAATTCTAGAAGCTGTTTTAATGGGAATAAATAGAATGGGGCCAATCGGGAAAAATGATTGATTACCATTCCTCTCTGATCTACTTTTACTGTCTGTCATATATTGCAACTTGGCTTTCAATGCGTCTAATTTGATTAATAAGTTTGAATTAAAAATTCAAACAGGTAATATAAGTATATAACCAGCTCTTTGTTCTCTAATTATTGATAATTGGTCAATTTGCTTCTTTGCTATTATGCACACACAAATAGGAATGACAATGCGTCGGGTGTGGATCTGGGAGGGCTACATCCATCACCCGATCCACCTTATATTTTCTCCACTCACCCCACCTACAATTCGTATCGGGTGAACTTTTTCAAAATCCATCCCATCTTCACCCCTATCGGGTGCGGGTGCCCACCACGAGTACCTACCACTTATAATCTTATTATTATTTTTTAAAAAATAATATTTAAATTACCTACACATAATAAAATAATAAAATTTACTAGTTATATAAAACATAAAATAATAAAAATATTTAAATATAATAACTAAATTGTTAATTTTTAAAAATAATCATAGTAGTTTAGATATAAAAATAGTAAAAATTTACATGAAGTTATAAAAACTTTTATAAATAACTACATGGTGGGTAGGGTTGGGTTCTATGTGGGTTTTGTTCATAGAACTCGAAATCAACCCGACCCATCGCGTATTTACTTTTTTAAGACCCACCACCCACTACCAAAAAAGAAAAAAACAAACAAAAAGGGGATCCATGCCGAGTGGATATCCAAGGGGCAGATTGAAATTGCCATCCCCACACACAAATAGTATCCCAGTAAAAAATAAAAGTGACAATTTTACACGGGGGGAGAGAATTACAGACTAACATCACCGGCAGTAGCTTTTGACATCAGTCTTGCAGATAAAGTTGCATATCGTGCTTGTACGCATGCAGTGAGGTGAGACTTATGTGCAGATTTGCTCCATAACATACTGACATTCTCAGTGACGACCAACACAATTTCAACGAGCACTGGTGAAGAGAAGAAATCTAGCCAGAGGAAAGAGCTCCGTACAGACCAAACTTCGATATCAGGTAAAAATGGGGGATTTTAAAGTTAAATTAACACAGATATTTATTTACAATTTACAAACAGTACAGTTTTCAACACACAGAAGCAGTTGCAGTGCTACAGTAAAACAAAAACACCTCGCAATGCCTTCATTGATTGTTCTCTCGCTCGTGATGTTAGAATTCACCTTCACCTTGGCCTTTCAAAATTCAGAAAAAAAATAAAAATACTTTCACACATTCAAAGAACAAACTTTCACTGGTCAAATCTGTCAAAATATAAAGTTAGTGGAATCTCAATCGAGTGTATTCAGCTTCCATTTGGTGCTTCTGTGTCATCCTGTGACATGAAACATCATGGGGAATTTAAAGAGCTTACTTTGATTTCCTCTACACAAGATAAAAGTAAAGCATATATGATATATACACCTCTAACCTCTTTTATATCAACTTCATGTACAAGTTCCTCAAGTTCTGCTCTTATCTCAGAGAACGATGGCCGGTTGCCAGGAACTGCTTCCCAACACCTCTGCATCATCTCAAGCAGCTTTGGGTGTGCATTATTAGGAAGTTCTGGTCGAAGACCCTGGCACGCATGCATAAGATAGATTACGTCAATTCTGGAAAGGTTGGGAAGATGCTGGTTCATTTTCTTATGTTACATACTTTCATTTATACTTCACACAAACAGTTGAAGAAAAAATCCTATTAATACTCTTTGGATTTAATAAATGCATAATCACAGTCTAGGGATTATCATTTAAATTTAGCTTGTCCATTGCTAAAAATACCATGTATCTGGGGAGATTATGTCTACTAAAGAAGTTGCCTAAATATAATGGAAATATCCTTCTATTTCTCACTTCTCAAATTTATACAACTTTCATCTAATGTGGCACTATTTCTTGCATTCCAAGACAAATTTGAACTGCAAGGACTGAATTTTGCAAGATAGTAAAATGATACCTAGCAATTCATTCCAATTTTTATACCAAATAATTTACATTGACAACTCACTTAGGCGTAAAATTTTCAATTTGCTTGTTGCTACTAACCTGTCTCACCCCAAGGGCAGCTTGTAGAGGAGTCATACTGTCATATGGAACCTGAAACTCAGCAAAGACAATGAAACAAGCTTTACCTTTTCTTCGCATAAGTTGGAGGGAAAGACAATTTTATATTCTTTCTGCCATTTCTACACGAGAATAATGGCAGCAATATAACCAAAGGGAGCATGGCAAACACCTTGGCTGTTACAAGCTCCCAAAGAACAATTGCAAAGCTGAAGACATCTGCTTTCTGATCATATGGCTGATGATTTATGACCTATAAGGGAATGGAGACACTCAAATAAACAAATGAATCACATTAAAGGAGCATGACAGATGTATTTCTATTATGTCATACAGTTCCAAATTTCTCAGTTAATGGAAAGGGAAATAGTTTGTAGAATAAGTCAATGAAAAGAAGAGATCTCTTGTAGTAAAGCTATTATTTAGTGGGTTAAATGATTGGTAAGAGTATCCTATCCTTGCATTAAATAATTTCTGATCCGGACCTCAGGAGCCATCCATCTATATGTTCCAGTCTCAGCTGTCATAACACCCCCCTTATTTAGGAACCGAGCAACACCAAAATCTGCCACTTTCACAACCTTGTAACAGATTATGAAGCTAATCAATACAAAAATGATAGATATAAGGAAACATACAAACACTAACACAGCCCACTGACATCATAGCATACTTTATTGAAAGAGATGAGATACAGGAGAACTCCATTCACAGGGAATGGCAACCTAAAATGGAGTATGTAAATATGTAATTGCATATAGCCAAATTCAGCAATTCAATCAAGAATCACCAATCTCATCATTCAGGTTCACACAAAAGCATAACCCCACAACATCCACCCATAACAAACAATTATGAATAAACTAAATCTTAAAAGGGGAAATAACAATGAAAAAGAATACTTAAGGCATGTGTATATATAGAGCAAATCATGCACTGAAGTCTTGACAAAGATCAATCCAGCTTAGCAAATACATACATTAGTATGGTACCAAAAGCAAAGAAAGGTATTAAGTATGAATCCCACATACTACCTATAATAAAAATATCTGACATATTTGGCCCATTAAAAACAAATATTTGGCTAACACATGAGAGGATGTGTTGAAAATTAAATATAAAATAATAAATGTTTATTCTCGCTAACAACTTAAACTTTTAGTTGAAGCAGAATATACAACACACCTTTTGTGCATCCATAAGCAAATTTGCTGTCTTGAGGTCTCTATGAATTATATTATTTTGATGCAGGTACTCCATTCCTTTGCAGATATCAATTGTGAACCTCAATAGTTGTGAGAGCTTCAAAACAATATGGTTCCTATGCAAGTAATCATACAAGCTTCCACCAGGCATGTACTCTACACACAACATAAGTAACAACTCATAAATAAGTTCAGCATCTGCAATTTTTTTTTTCAGTATAGTTGAACCTAAGATTTAGAAAGAGTTTTGCAGAACAAATTTTGTATTCAGAATATGAAAGTATGAAACAAATAGCTTAAGCTATAAAATCAGGTAAGAAAACTATATTCTATAAAAAACTTCAACAAAATTTTAGAACAGGCAAATGAACAATACTGTTGAATTTGAAAGATTCAAAGGCCTGGCGGGTGGAGAATAACAACCACCCGCCAGTTAGGCGGAAGCAAGATGAAGAATCAAGGAATGAGAAATGTTTATAATATTGAAAGATTACAATATATTACTATAATTCTATGTTTCTAATGAAGAAACATCATACATATATATAGAGAAACATAACTCAATAGACACAACTCAATTTGTTTTTCAACCAGACACAACTCAATAGACAAACACAACCTTTGTTTTTCAACAAATACTAGATGAGTATTTTGAGATGTAGAGATTTGAGAAAACAAAGCCAACCAAAAGAAGAAAAATAAAAAAAAATCGAAGAAAAAATTGTTTTTAAGGCACCAAAATTACCAGATAAATATTATGCATATTAGCTGCTAACATAGGTAAATATTTGAAGCAAAGTATTTGACTAATATATGCAAAATTCCATACCTGTGACAATGCACAGGTGAGGTGACTTTGAGCAGGCACCAATGAAACGGACAACATTTTTATGTAGCACCTGTCTGCACACATTGCGACGTGGACAACATATAATTAGCCAGAAAGGGATAGGAAAGAGTAGTAAAGAATTCTAGTCCCTAATAGTGATGAGATCTCCAAGACATACTTTTATATTTCCATGGCTTTACTAAGATGGGATGATATCAAAAGTACACAAACTCATAGCAGCTATAATTGTTTACCTTAAAATAGCAACTTCTTGAGCAAACTCATTCTCCAAATTCCCATTTAAATGCTCAGATCTAAGAACCTTCACTGCAACATCAAGACCATGATATATGCCATGATACCTTTCAATGGCAAACAGAAAAATATGAGTATGAGAAAGGTAATGCCATGAGAATGTTAGAAAATGTTGATTTAAAACACAATAGGGATACAATTAATAACTCACAAATCACCACAAGATCCAGATGCTATCTTTTCCCCTATCTTCAGCAATCTTCTATCGATTTCCCAGTCTCCAGATTTTGCTTTAGGACAAATAGCTTTCTCAACAGATGATTGAGAGCAGGAAGGTACAGACAATGAGCCCTACATTATCCAAATAGTACCCTCAATAGCCATCAGCTCATGTCATACGTTCACAGAAGTCAAGACAAACAAGAACAGAAGTGACATGCAAAGGCTATGAAGCTCAAGAAAAAGCATGTTGTGATACACTGGAACCAGAAAATAAATTAAAAATAAAAAATAAAATCAATAACTAGATAAGTATGTCTTCATGTGTGTGTGTTCTCTAGAAATTAGGGTGCGTTTGGTTCGCACATAGGAATGGAATCGGAATGGGAATCAAATACTTGGTAATTGTAATGAGTTTTGGTGAAAGTATTTTGCATGTTTGGTAGTAGGGTGGAATTAGAATGATTACCAATATTGATGTTTGGTTATGTATGACCCTGTAATGGGAATAAAAGTTTTAAAAATACAAAAACAAAAAATAAAGGCAATTGATCCTAATATAATGGCATTCAAACACATGAACCAAACACACCCTTATTATGCATTTGAAGTGCATATTATTTATTGGGGGAACTAGAAAACAAACAGTGAATGGGACTTTGTAATCTCCACATGTATAATTAGGACTCTACATACTCAAAAAATATATATGATATTCTTCTGCAGCATCAATACTTTTCTGCAACATCAAGGTGTGACCTCCTTGGGGTAAAAATTTTACAAAGGAACTAAGGTCAGGTTTTACCAGTCACAGGCAAGATTATAGCTAAACATGAGGAATAATAAATTTTACTTTTGCATGCTATATATATCCAGTGCTAATGTATACACATAAAGAAATGGATGTTCCAGCCTAATCAGACAAGGAAAGAACTAGTCTAAGAAACTAAAGCTAAGTAAAGGCAATTAACTAGTCTATGAAAATTAGGAAATGAACTAATCTAGGGGGCTTGGTTAGAGATAGCCAGGGTGCCTAGGTGGCAGGCTTTCTGGTTAACATTGGAAAAACTGATAGTTCCTCTGCTTAGCTATGGTGTTTAAGGGAATGATTGTTACAAGCCAAGAAGAAAGGCAAGGCTGATGATAGAACTAGAGTCAGCAGTTCCGGCCAATTTAGCTGGGAATGATGGGCCGGAGGAAGAAGGGAACATGGTGCTTTATCAATGTAGAAAACTAACTTCTGAGGGTTTAGGTGAAGCACACCTGGGCCCCGGCATACTCGAAGAGAAGGGAACTTATCTAAGGATCAAACACCCTGCATAAGTATACAAAGTAATGTCACAAAGAATGTGCTTATGTGCTACATCAAAGGCAACCAATATCATGATCTGATGATGCAATGAGCCATCTAAGCCACTAAATAAGGTATACAAGGATTCTATGCAGCCATTCCTGACTGAAGCCACAAAATATTTGAATCAAATCTTTTGGATTTAAACCAGCCATATTATATGACAACAGAAAAGTTGTTCAAGAGTATAAGCAAAATGATTACCTTCCTTCTATTAATAGCCTTTTCCAATGCTTCAAGCAATTCCTTTGTATCCTGTACGCAGTTGCAAAGTCAGCAAGATTTGTACTCAACACAGATACCTCTCATGCAAGAGTATAATCACTATGCTGACTTGTGTAAAACAGTGCACTATCCTGGTGACATGTAACCCTAGTGACTCAAACAATCTAGTTTTGCCACTAAACCCATAAGGAACACATTCATTGGAGTAGGTGCATAAATGAATTTGAACAAACAAAAATCTACATATGAGATAATCATTTGCATGAAATCAAATTATAAATGGGATCATTAAAATTGATTGTTCTCCATGCAATATTTACAAACTTAATAACTTAATAAGTTTTATCCTTTGGAGTAATCCTAAACAAAATACTCCATACCTCAACATGCCATCCATCCACCACAAATACAGATAATGAGTAGCCATCATTCGTGGAGAAAACATGAGCCTCACGGATGTTAAGTCCAATGTCAGAGAGCAAAGCAGAAAGCTAGGAAAAAAAAAAAGAGATAATGTTTATTATTGGGGGTGCAGAAAGAAAAAGCAATTAGTGGAAAACTGGAAACAATGCAATTGAAAAAAGAAAGAAGTTAAAGATTTAAAGGTAACCTTCAAGAGGAAATTAAGCATTGTTAACACATACAGAAAACCCAATACATGTAGAACGAGATTTAATGTAAGTTTAAAATCAGTAATTACACTGAAAGTGATTAAACCAGGTTGGTAGGTCATATCATGGACCGAAGGGTACATATATACCTTGCTGTTGGAATAAAGCATATTCTTAAGGTGTAACTATGATTGTTTTCAATAACTATGTAACCATGGGCCATTAAACCCTAAGTTAATAGTAAATTAGTGCAATTATTATGTAACTCACACAACAATAACTTGGGAACACACTTTGGTAAACCAAATAGTTGCTCCTATGTAGTTATATTTCAACTTACAGTACCACTATGATACAAATTTATGTACAGTACCTACATTTTAATGCACTGATCCTTTAAATTATGTATCTCACCTACACTTTGTATAAAATCATCTTTAGTTTAAACAAAAGTATGCAATTACCAAATATATGGCAAAAAGTGATATGCCATCTTATTCCAACTTTATAAGTGATATCTCGTTTCAGATCATCCCATTTTAAATGAAATGAAAAGACTGAACATACACAGGAACAGACCAAAAAAAAAAAAAAAAAACCATATTTTGAGTGATAAATGGTGTGGAAATCACAGTAAGACAAGATTTATCAGCTGCACAGAATTATTATTATTGGAACAAATTTCAGAAATACAGAATTATAATGTGAATTCCAAGTTACCTGACTAAGAAGCTTTGGCTTGTCTAAGGTTGAAAATATTACTTCATGGACTGGAATAAATGACATCTCTGGCCTGCAACACCTTTCAACTGTCAAGTTCTTTTACATAGATAATTAAATAATGCAGTATGTTTTATGCAGATTTATAAAAATAAATAAAGATAAGTAACACTATATATCATTTGCTGAGAAAATACCTTTTGCTAAAATCTTCTGCAGGATTTCCACTCTCCATGCAATTGAAATTCTTCCTAAGATCCAAATATAGGTCCATAAGCTTAGAGAAAGTTTCAAAGTCATTCACACAAGTCTTGTTTCCAGTTGAAGTCCGTAAACAAAGACAAGGCAACAGCCATTGGCAGACCAAAGCAAATTACATCATATCAATTGCACTCAGTGAGTAGAAGTGATTTTTCTTATTAAACACACTGACCATTTGGAAAATTGAAAACCATAGTAATCACCTGCTATGAGAAGGAACAATCCCTTCGTTATCTATCTCGCAATGCAGCTTTGAAGTGGAAGCAAGATTTGAAATTTGTTGGTCAGCAGTATCATCAACTCTAGTCCAAACATTCAGCTAGAATAACAACAAAGGATGCTTATGAAGAAGAAAGGGGAAAAAGACAAGCAAAGAAGCAATTCATGAGAAATTCGTAAAATTGCTGGTACAATGCATTGTTTCAAATTTATAGAGCAATTGGTCTAATTAAACCACCTTTTCTTTTTCATATGTAGCAAAATTTATAATTTTAGAAAAGCCAAAAGAAGAAAATAAAATAAAAATTAGGCAGGTAAAGCCCGTCTCAAACACACACAGAAAAAGAACTATAGTTGGCAGTCAATTAGCAAGTGACAAAAGATTTCACCAGAAGAAGATTTTGCTAAGCATAAATCTAAATTACAAAATGCACTGAATAGTGGAGTACCTCCAGAAATCGGACGTGATAAACAGGCCTCACATCAGGATCCTTTGCCCTTGCGAGGATCTTCTGGTGCAGCAGCACATCTTCCACTCTATCCATATTTATATCCAGTCCGTAACTGCAACAACAAAAAATTGCATCATAATTAACAAGGCATTTTAGCATCATAATATTTTAATTCACAATTTTTTTCTGACATAATTAAATGGAAAAACACATTATGATGTGTCAGCATCCAATTAGTTAATTACACAAATCTCTTATCTTACAAAGTTAAGTGAAAATGAAATCAATTTTGTAATAATCACCATCACTCAAAAATCCAAAATGAATTTGCGCACAACATATTCATTAACCCTGCACACGTTAAGAAAGAAAACGAAAACAAACAGAAGTAGATAGAACTGAATTCAAGCAATATCAAACTCGCGCATACATATAAAACTAGATAGAATTGAATTCGAGCAATATCAAACACGCGCATACATATAAAACTAGATAGAATTAAGAATTGAATTCAACCAATATCAAGCACGCGCATACATATAAAGCGCGTGTAATCTAAGCTCGAACTCATAGTACAAATATACTAATATGGTAAGTAGCATATCCATAGATTCGTTATACATCTACAGCAATTCAAAACAAAATAAAATAAAATAATATCATCAGTAGCTGGAGAAAGGTGAGGTGAAACCTAGAAGGCAAGCTATTGAAGTGAGCTTCCAACTGCTCCCGGAACAGCTCCGGATTGTTAACCACCTCCTCATTGCCGCTCTCCAGCAACTTGTTGTACACATCGTTCCGTATGTCGTACGCTCCGCCTCCACCACCGCCGGAGCTGCCGATACTCCTCGGCGGCGAAGAGCTCTCCCCAACTCCCTCTGCCAAATCCATTCCTACTCACTCCAAACTCTCTCTCTCTCTCTCTCTAAGGATACATGTACTGTACTATCATGTACGCAGGTGCTAGGAATCGGAGTGAAGTAACTTCAATGAATATTGACTGCTTCTGCAGTTGTGCTAGACAATCGGAAGATCCATCTTTGTTAAGAGGAAAGTGACTCGCTAGGAGTTTTGGAGAAAAAGCGAGGGCAATATGGTCCGTAAATACAATATAATTGCTGTGACAGAATTTCTAGAGAGAGAAACAAGGAATGGAAATTCGTTGGAAGAATGTCAGAAACTTTGGTAGGCTACAGCGTTACAGAGATACCTGAACAATAATATACCTTACATACGGTTGGTGGGAGAGTAGAAGTGGATATAGTTCAAAACGTGTGACAATATCAAAATGAAATTACCTTATAGTACAAATACTTGGACTATGTTTTTTTTTTTTTAATATCACATACTATTCCATTTGATAGTATAAACTCGAATTACAAATTCTACAATATTAAATAGCAAAAAAATCAATTACTATGGGCTAAGGTGTCATGACACTTACAAAAATATGTCACATTTAATATTTGATTTGTTCTTTAATTATGTATTCGAATTTCTTTGGAACTAGGCTACAAATATCATTAGGTTGAAGCATATATAAGACAATACAGTTTTGGTTTACGATAAAGCTTGCAGTTGATATATAAACGTATACTCTATGTGAAAATCATATTGTGATTCTAGTCGACAAATGATCGCAATAAGGTATACCAGCTTAGGTTTTATAATTGGTCAATTCAAGTAAAAAAAAGTTAACAAATTCTCATAAAATTAAATTTAAAACACTGTGATTATCTAGGGATGTCAATTGACGTATACTCTATTAATAATATGTAGTGTAGGTCCTATACCGTGTAATAATATATATGGTAAAAATCATATGTTTCTCTTATAAATATAAACTTCATCTCACAATTATGTGTCTTATTTTTTCATAATAGTAATATTTTATCTTATTTCTCGTGTTGTTGATGTGTGATCTTGAACATATATTTATATATTTATATGTTTGTCAAACTCATATAATTAATTTATTGGTATTTAAAATTATAGTTGGGAAATGAAAGTTGACTCGTGACGGATGAGTCAATCTTGAATGACCTATATAATGGACGAAGACCCAGCTAATCTCTGCTTAATTGTCTATTGCCTTATATTAAATAGTTATCAAGAATCAAAGCATCCACCTTTTTTCTATAGTGCATGTAAAACGAATCCAATTTTCATCACAAGTTTATATTTTGTAAATATGCTCCTAATAAAGAAAGCAGAATAACATTTTGAAAAAGACTTCACCAAATTTTGTTTTTTTTTTTGTTTTTGTTTTTGTTTTTTTTTTTTTTGTTTTGTTTTTTCTCCAAAATATAAAATCAAAATAATTATTTATATTAATGTATGATTATCTTACCAAAATGTCACACATTCAATTTTTGTCAACACCATTTCAAGCAAGCCCGTCGCACAAGGTATTCCTAGTGCGATTTACATATTCTATGTGATTTGTGGATTATTACACATGAACGAGATTTATCTAGCTTAATGCACACTCTCAAGTGTTGACTGTGAGTTTCATATGTCATCTCAATAATGATTATTTATATGATATTTTATCTCACAACACTAAAAATAATAATTTAATATAATTTTTCTAATTTTTGTTGGAAAAAATATTAGTCATTTACCATGTATTTATTAAATTATTTTATTATAATTTTAAATTTGATATTTTTTATTTAATATTTTTTTAAATACGGAGTATTTAAATTTTATTTGCTAATTTTGTTGATACATGGAATAAAAGATTATACAAGAACAAACTAAAATTGTTATTCTCAATGATTTATTCTCATTTCATTATAGATGTAATTTTAGAAGTTCCAATATGTTATTTGGAGATCTTAAATTTTTAAATATGCTTTACCTCCCGTGTCTTATTTGTCTCGTATTTATTAGTTGATGATGAATGAGGCATCACACATACTAAAATCGTCATTATGAGACTAAGTTAGTTTGCACAGCTAAGGAAATTCCACCCCTTTGATTTTTATTTTTTTTTAAAGACAAACCTATTATACATGTGTGTCTTTAATCAAGAAATAGACAAGACTTGATCTTATCCATTTGTTCATCAAGTTGTGAACACTCAAACAGAACCTTTGAACTTTTAAGTGTACTATCTAGCTACTATTATACTCCAATGACCCCATCAAATATTTGCCAAATATTTGGTTAGTTGTAAATCATCATCACTCACAATTTAAAATTGAGGAGCTTATACCCAATTGAACCAATTCATTTATAACATATTAATCTTAAACTTTTACCTACTAATCCTCTAAATTTGGATTACAACATATATTTTCTAAAATTTTTATATGTTTTTGTGTAACACCAAGAAGAAAAAAAAAATAGTTATTTGTCTAAATCTGGACACCAATCAAATCTTGTTGTCGAAGTCTCAAGACGTCCATATAGGAATGCCCGAGTACCCTAAACCTTATTCGTGGAAGATCATATTTTCATTCGTAGAGGATCATATTTTCATACATGATTATACATTTAAAAAATATAAGTAATATTATTTTCTATCTATTAACTATAGTGTCATCTGATTCACATTTAATAATCGACTATTAATTTGTCTTTTTTTTTTTTGCCTCACCCTATGTTTCCTCGACCAGTAAATTAGGACAATACACCGAGACTAATATTGTTTGTGTCAAAAAAAAAAAAAAAAAACCTTAAAAGGTGTCAAAGTACAGTTAATTTGGAAAAGACCCGCATTATTTCATCCATATTGCATGAGTACATTTTTAATCCTATACTTATAATCGATTACATTTAATTTAAAATGTTTTCACTTATAAAATGGTGAAGTATTAAAATTAGAATAAAATTAAATTAAAAGGAAAAACAATCGTTGGATGTTGATGATAGCTCTAAAGAATAAATAGACATGCAATTGCCCACTAACCAATGGAAGTAAAAATGGAAAACCGGCAATGAATACATATTGGGCATTCGGTCAGCCTATCCATATTTCTAAATGGGAAAGATTATTGTTGAAAATAAGGGGCAACTCAACAACAACCATGGGAATGATGGTGATGTAGAATACCATGACACATCTTTACTAGAGAGCACTAAGACTCCAAAAGGTTGTCTCAAGAAAATGGAGAATTAAAGTCTCCATAAGACTGAAATAGGTATCAATAATGTTGATAATATTCGATTTCTACTAATAATATAATTTTTAAATCTTAAATTACATATATGCACATATTGTAATCAGGTCATACTAACGAAATGCAAGTAACAAAAATAAAATTGAACTTATTTTGTATATGCACAAACTCTACCCAAACTCCTACAATTTAGGTATGGATCTCATTTTGGACAAGGATTAGGATGTCCATTACAACTCTGCATATTCCTAACTTGGATTAGGATGTCCATTACAACTCTGCGTATTTCTAAACTATTAGCATGCAAACTGGGACAATATCCACAAATTCTCGTGCATTATATATGGCCAACCCATATAGCATCTTAACCTAATTCATTTATATGGCATCTCCAATGGTGGAGATTAAAGGAGGAGAAAGAGGAGGAGCACGGTTGGAGGGGAGAGGAGATTATCCTTTGGAGAGAAAGTTCTCTCCAAAGGAAGGGGAGAGAACGGCACAGGCATGTGGCATGTATGGCGGGAGACAGCTTGTCCCCCACCATGATGCTTCAATAAAAAATATATATATCCTTTAAAAAATTTGATTTTTGTTAGCTATTTTCAAATGTTAAAGAGAAAATAAGAGAGAAAGTTATAAGGTAATGTGAAGGAGTTGGAATCACAATTTGAGAAGAAAATGAGAAATTCATTGTGAATGTACTTAATACATTACTCCAATCCAACAACACTTTTAAGTCAAGTATAAAAAAATTCAAACCCATCAATCACTATCATTATATTTTATATGAAAAATAATTAAAATTTAAATACTTTAACATTTTATAAATTAAAATAATTAAATTTGAGCAACTTTTGGAAAAAAAAAAAAAAAAAACTTTTTAAGAAATTTTAAAAATTAGAATTAAAAAAAAGAAGAAGAAAGAAATAAAGAAAAAGGAAACTACTACAAGTAAACATGTCAAGTTTCCAAAAAGCCCCAAAAACTGTATTGTCGTCGGTTGGTCCCATTTAATCAACAATACGGCACCGTGTTCGATCCCCTCGCAAACCCTAGGTCAATGCGAAGATCTCGGAGTTGCTCTGCTTAAAATCCAGTGATTACAGTTGTTGAAATCAAGAGACGAGCTAAAGCTCTTCGTCATTTCTGAACGAGGTATTTGATTGCAAATTCTCCACCTATCGCATTCTGATTTGTATTGTATGCCGATTTATTACTTTGATAACTATGAGTAACTGTTAGTAAAAGAACTCGTAGTGTATAAAATTTGTCTAGGATCCAATTAAGAACCTCGGGTTTGATCTGGGGCACGTTTTCACTTATTTATCGTGATTGGTTCTAAGATTTGAAGTTCATTCAGAGCTGCAGAATAAGCTATACTGAGGTCTTCATTAAGTTAGCAATTTCATATGTTCTTAATTTTGATGCTTATGTTGCTCTACTTCTTAAGTGTCCGAAGTTTTGATTGGCCAATGTCTTTCAGTTTGCATCTTAAACTCTTAATCCAACACCTTGTTCTTATATATTGCTTGATCTTATGTTTCCAGGTATATACTAATAGGTGTGTGCACACGATGTCTTCGGCTCAAGATCCTTTTTACATTGTGAAGGAGGAGATTCAGGAATCTGTGAGTTTTTTTTTTTTTTTTTTTTTTTTTTTTGATCTAATGCTCTGGTGAATCTATTCATAAACTGAGAATATATTGATCTGAATTTTCATTATTCATACTTATAAATTTTTCTCCCTTCTTGCGTTGTCTAAAAAAAGATGTGTGTTCTCCATTCTAATTTGGTTTGCTAAAATCCAGTTGAGTACAAATACTGTGACAGGCAGATCTGAGTTATGTGTGGGGCATTTGGTTTCCTGATTATATGCATGCAAACAAACACGTATATGCATATCTAAAATTAGTTTTCATCTTGCTTTTGTGAGATAGTGGGATGTAAGTATGCTCTTGGGCTGCAAGTATGTTGTCTTATTGCTCAAGGGTGAAGAGAGTACTTGGTTCCTTATGAGCTCTGTTTCCCTAGCAAAACTGAGCTTTTTACCTACCAATGTGTTACTTATTGTGTGTACATTTTATTATTTATCACTCTTGAAATGCCTGTTTGGTTAGATTGAAAAGCTGTTATCTACATTCCATCAATGGGAGCGCACTCCTCCAAGTAGTGGAGATCGCCTACATCTTTCAAGAGAGCTTATTACAACATGTGATAGCATTGACTGGCAGGTATGTATATACAAACACAACTATTTATAAACTATGTTTGTCACTCATTCATCATTGTGTTTGCTACATCCAATAAGGACCAATAGTCAAAATTCCACGCATTATACCTTGGGCATAGTTTTTAGTGTGACTTTGTTGGTTTTACCATTTTAGAACACCAGCTTGTACTATAGTTGACTCTTTGAGAGGCATATCTCTTAAATCCATAGTAACAACTTGGTTTCCTGATAGGAAGGTAGATGAACTAAACAAAACTATTGCTGTTGCCGCAAGAGATCCTTCTTGGTATGGTATTGATGAAGCAGAGCTTGAAAAACGACGAAGGTGGACCAGTGATGCTCGTACTCAGGTATCTGCTCAGTTACTTGAAAGTGGCCATTATAATTCACAAAAGTGGTTGGTCACTCTTTGACGAACATTTTGCTTCTGCTTTAGCCCAATCATTTGTACCTGCTGTATTCATGCCATTTGATTCCTAATTACTTTCGGATAACATCAGTGGCTTCTTTTGGTAATTAGGTGGGCAATGTGAAGAAGTCAGTGGTAGCTGGAAAGGAGTCAAATGGCATGAGCTCATCTAATTTTGATGGGATGCGACGAGAACTGATGAGGATGCCAGATTCTCATCAGACTGGCAGAAATGATCCATACACTGCTCAAGATAATGACGATTTCATATCATCAGAATCTGATAGACAGTTACTCCTCATAAAGTAATCTCCTTTTTTACCACATTATTCTTTGTCTTTTTTCTCACATCCTCAATAAATCTTTTTGATCAATCCCGTGTCAATCTCTCATCATGCAATGCGGTTGCCCTGTGCAGGCAACAAGATGATGAGCTGGATGTGCTTAGTGCTAGCATTGAAAGAATTGGAGATGTCGGGCTCACTATTCATGACGAACTTATTGGACAGGTTATTAGTGCTTTCACTTAGTTATATACAATGTGTTCCTGGTAGAAGGCTATAACTATTCTGGACTTATAAATTGTTGTATCTGAACTAATTTTCAACATTTCTTGTGAGCGCACTGTGTATATAAGCTAAAACAGAAGTTTGGCAATTTTGCAGGAAAGGATCATAAGTGATCTGGGTTCAGAGCTGGACAATACATCTAATCGTCTTGATTTTGTTCAGGTAATAAAATTAGTTCTGAATTCGGTGACTTCTTTATTCCAAAATTTTCAAGCATTTTGAAATCTAGATGCAACGCTAATCTTGTTTCAAATTACAGAAAAAGGTCGCTATGGTAATGAAGAAGGCAAGTGCCAAGGGGCAGATTATGATGATTTGCTTTCTTCTAGTTTTGTTTATCGTTTTATTTTCCCTAGTTTTCTTGACTTAATTAAGAGAGGCAAACTGCGGGTGAAGTTTACAGTTTTAGTTAGAATACGTTGGATTTGTGTTCAATGTAAGTTGACCAGTTATGTACTC